CTATATGATCCACTAGGACGAGATGGTGCCATCGATCGCTGCGAAGTCAGTGTGCAGGAGCGGGAGAACGAGGCGCAATGCCGTTTTATCGTGAAGATGGTGTGCAACCAGGGTGTCATCAAGACCTACAAGCTCACGTACGAAGCTGTCGATGTTATGCACGCTCTTTTCGATCGCAACGTCGCAAAGAACAGGTGGAGCCTGCATTCAGGCGCGGTCAAAGAATACATTGAGTACTTTGGCACCAAGACGGAGATGCTAGACATTTTCGCAGGAGAAGAGGGGCGATGTGTCTTCAAGAGCTACACCGAGAAGATCACAAATGGCAAAGAGATCCTCAAGCATCCACTCGTCACAGCAGTCGCAGTCAACACATCCGACTTCGAAGACTTCGACGTGCAACCAGGGCTACACATCATCATCAGCGTCAAGGACTTCAAAGCCATTGTCATCCACGCCGACACGCTCAAAACGAGTCTCAAGGCATACTACTCGCAGCCAACACGACCGCTGCAATTCAGCTACGGATGCGACGGACTCGTTTGCGAGTTCACACTCATGACATCTGGCGACTACACCGCCGCCCCAACAACCCCAACACCTGCGCCACAGGCGCTCAACAGCCAACAAACCTCACGCGCGCCGTCAGCAGCCACAGAGCGCACCGACACACGGAGCATGCGCTCTGGAATGCCGCCACCCACCGAAGCCGCATCTCGTCGCGACCGCGCAGGCCGCCTACGTCACCCGGGATCACGACCACCCACGCAAAGCCAGCAAGCCCAGCAAGACCCTGAGAGTCTGTTCGTCCCAGACCCATCAGAAGCACGACAGCGCGAAGAAGAAGAGGACTCCGCATGGGCACCACTGGACTACGATAAGGAAGAGACGCTAGGATGGGATGCGAGTGCAGATCACGACGCATCTGTGTTTCCGACATTCCGTGATAGCGGAAGTGGTGCGTCGAGGACGAATACGATGGATAGCAACGATGTTATTGAGCCAACGCAGAGGGTTTCGCAGTTGAAGGATTTGGGGTTGTGGTAGCATAGGGATGTGTGTAACTCGTGTAACAGATAAACCGTAGTCGCAGAACACTCAATTGAGGCATCGAAGCAACGCATAGGTACCGCAGCAACGTGCAAAAAGAACCAAAGGCATTAGAGTGAACGGAGGTAGGAATCCTCTCGGTTGAACATCAACCGTGCGCAAACCGATGTTTTCCCATAGTCGCAGGCTCACGTTCTGGGCATTTCGCAGACAGCATCTCCAAACGTCCTCGGCCCCAACCTGTCCTACATCAGAAGACTGACTACAAGTCATCACCATCTACCATAGCATCCTCGTCGCTCTCCTCTTCCTCATCAAACTTAGCTCCTGTAGTCAAGAGCTCGGCTCTCTTGACAGTAACATCCTTCTCCAGTTCTGGAAGCACCCGAAGACGCTTGCGAAAGATATCACCTATCGTGTCGTCCTTGATATAAGCCCAGTAGTGATGTGCTAGGAATCCCGCGACCCAATCCTTCAATTCCTGGTGGACCTCCAAAACAAGGCCCGAGGTTCTGTATAGTGTGATCGCCCAGGTCAAGACGTCGGCGTTGTCCCATTGGAGGAAGTGTACCTTCTTGGCGATATGGGCGAGCATGTCGTCAAGACCTAGCTTCTCAGCTGCCTCCCAAGCAGACACACATTGTGCAACAGCTTCTTTGTTCTGTTCCTGGTCTTCTGGGTACCGGATACCGAAGGCCTCATCTGTCAGAAACTCGGCAACGAATTGAAAGTCGTCAATATTGATGTTAATCAGCTGGGGATGTCGTAGTTGCCAAATGCCTTCCTCAGTCAAGAAGAAGTACATTATTCCTGTCCTTGCATCTCGGAAATACGGACGATTCCAAAGGTCTTTCTTCAGGAAGGTGCGCATCTCGCCATGCCGGCCAACGAGTACTTGGACAAATTCCTTGCTTTCTGACCTGTGAATTGTTAGTTTTGAACGTTGCGGAAGCAATTGATAGACGTACAGCTCGCCCTCCACAACATCAGTATCTAGATCCGAATTTTGATCGTCAAGCCTCAGACTTGTTGAAACTTGGCCAGCCGAACGCTTTGCCCGGGGTCGATTCTCCTGTTCTACTGATTGACAGTCATTGTGTTCCGGGGATGGACTTGACCACTTTCGGCGCTTTCGTACAGGCTGATTATCGTCGACACAGGTTGGAGATGAGACTCGGGATGGTCGAGATCTCTTGGGAGTCGAATGGAAGTCGTTTTGAGCTCGAGGCCGGACGTGGACCGTGGCATGGCCATCCTCTTCCAGCGTCACCGTGGAGCTTCTTCGTCTGTGTCTTTCAATTGGTGAATAGGATGGGGTAGAGAGACTATGCGATGTAGCTTCATGGTGGTCACGGAGACTAACACGCATGGCCTGACGAAGCTCTTCATCTAATTCCTCTTCATCTTCCCATATATCTTCGGTCTCGGGGTCAGGGAGCGTGTCGTTGCCAAATTGGGTTTCCACCTCTTCTTGCCAGTGTTCAAGACCTACACCAGCTTCCATCATGAACGCAACGATCTTGTAGGCCTGAAGCAGGTCTCTGGAATGCGTGAGCAGGTTTGCATCATCCACGGGAACAAAAGTAGATAGCTGGATCGCTGTGGCCCAGCAACTATTGCGATTAGCGGTGAACTAAAGTTCGTAATTTTTGATACACTCACAATCTATACGGCTCTGTCAAGAGAAGGACGAGTGTCATGTATGCCGTAGGCCGACTTCTCTGGATGTTAAGTGGCGCATGACTATCGTCATATACAAAACCGGGGACCGGCACCTGATCAGGGCCAGGTTCTTTGTAGAGAACATACGATCCGAGGCCGGTTCGAGACATGATTGTCTGCCCTGGAGATGGATTCTCTACAGGTTCTTGCAGAGGCTGCTTCGTGAAGGATGCTGACTTGGTGTATGCGGATTGTGGCGGAGCGGCGTAGAGTTGTTGGATGTTGTATCAAACGGTGTAGAGATAGGTTTCATTGAGAATGGGTGAGAGTCGAGCTGCCGTCACTGAGGTCTGGCTGACAAGCCGTGCTCCAGGGTAGGGTTGCCGGTGTGAGGCCAAGGAGTTGTAACAACTCACCTCCCGCTGTCTAGCCTTGACGATCAATGGCGGATGAGAATTCTGGTGAAGCCACTGGATGGAATTGTCTGGCGCCTGAGGTGCGCAAGACCTGGTCAGAGGAGAATGCTCAATAGGCTGTAGAGGTTATGAGGGTATGTCGAGGTTCAAAATGGAGGTTGCTGAAGATTAGAAGAGGAGAGATGATGTTGAGTAGAAAGTGTTATCATGAGCTTGGAGACAAAGCTAAATATATCCTCTCCAAGAGGCATGGGTTAGCGCCATGTGGAGGTGAAGGTGGTGGTGTCCACGGCCAGGCCAGGTGAGAGAACATGATGTGACTTGAGCGGTGCTGCCATGACGCTGATGCAACACCACGCATCAGATGATTCATTTCATGATACCATTAACTCGATGAATACGTGACGTGTTGCACAAGATGCGCAGATGCGGAGTTGAGCTCGGTGGTTTACATAAGCGGCAGGCGCGAACCATTTGACGAATCGAAGGACATCTGGCATCAAGCTCACCACCACGATTCCACGATACACACCAGCCCCATAAACCCGCGGCGAGAACTCGTGAACCGCACATCCAAACGTTACTCGAATACTCTAATCTCCTCGTCTGCACCCTACAATCGCGCAAACCCCCGAATTCGCGACTCACCACCCACACCGTCTACCCACACACAACCTCAGCCATGCTCGGGCTCTCAGGCATGCAGCCACGGCAACTAGCCGCCCAAGTTCTCAACTTTGCGCTCGTCCTCTCAACCGCCTTCATGCTCTGGAAAGGGATCTCAGTCGTAGCAGACTCACCATCACCCATCGTCGTCGTACTGTCAGGGTCCATGGAACCCGCGTTCCAAAGAGGAGACCTGCTGTTTTTGTGGAACAGAGGGATGGACACACAAGTGGGCGAGATTGTGGTATACAATGTCAAGGGCAAGGATATCCCGATTGTTCATCGCGTGGTGCGGAGATATGGTGGAGGGTGAGTTTACCTCTACTTGTCATACAAATCTAAGAGTGGCTCTGTATGTGGTTGAGAGGCTATACACGAACCGCGCAACAAAAGGGCAGAGTACCCTTACTGATGGTCACTCGCTAATACGGCTGCAGCAAAACACCCCTGCGCCTGCTCACCAAAGGTGACAACAACATGGCAGACGACACCGAGCTCTATGCGATCAACCAATCCTTCCTAAACCGCAAGGAAGACGTCATCGGTAGCGTTCTCGGCTTCATCCCATTCGTCGGCTACGTTACAATCCTGCTGAGCGAACATCCATGGCTGAAGCAAGTCATGCTGGGGATGATGGGCTTGATGGTCGTGCTGCAGAGAGAATGAGAGCTGGTAACGAATATTGGAACATATGCGCTGGGTGGAGCGAGTAGCTATAGTAAGGATGCGGTCCATTAGAGTCTGTGACTGTGAGGTCTGGCCGTGCTTGGAGCTTCTTCGTAGGCTCAGTTATTGCTGCGTGCATGGCATACTTATGCATCTTCGGCTCTAAGGGAGAAGATATACCCATCCTTGCCCAAATAGACCTCAACAGTCTCGCTTCACATCTCAGGAATAAAGGTATTGCACAATGTCGTGCAAATAATGTTCTCAATTTACACCTGCAATCCATCCCATGTCTCACAGCCTCAAAGTCCCCCTTTTCAACGTTCCCAGCAAAACACATCTCCACCCCATCAGCACCCACCATCACCCACCATTAATCCCTACCAATTTTCTTACCAGATACTACACATCTAAAGAGAACAAAAGGCCAATGTCAGGTACCCACTGCCATTCACGTCCTGCAACCTCTCAAACACCAAACCCCACACACAAATTACCCACCATCCAAGTCCCAACGAGAGCAGCAAAAAGAAAAGCAGATGCAACCAGCGGGATTCGAACACGCGTCTCCGCCTCTTTCCCGAGTTGGGAAGGCGGAATGCTAACCACTGCACTATGGTCACTTGATCTGCTGTTGATGGGGGAGAGAGTGGGGTATTTGATATATATGCAACGTTGACTTCAAAGAGCAGAGAGCAAGATAGAGAGGCGGTTATTTGGTTGTGTGAATATGTGGATATGTGGTAAGGGCGGTGTTTGTTGTGCTGGACGGATAAGGGAAGGACTTCGGAACAGGGACAGGAAGGTGCGTTTGTGTATGCGGGTTGCCGCGGTGGTGAGTTCGGGGTTTATTCAAATGGGCAGGGGGGCATAAAGTGAGGGACAAGACGGTAGAATCAGGTCATTGGATTGTATAGGATGGTGTAAGAAATGCTCGAGTTGTAGTGGCATCATGCAAGACATCATCACTTAAGGATGCGAGATACACCGAGCATGTCCAGCGCTACGCCGACAACCACCTCACACAAACATCACCTCACCAACGAACACACCGATAGTAGCAAAGCATTTTCATACCGCAAACTGACTAGTGTACATGGACTTGTGGTCATGAGCTTCGTGATGCCTACACGCGTCCGAGTCGAGGACGCCAAACATCATGAACTGCTAAAGTCATGTCCGCCGTGTGGACTGCGGCCGTCCCCTCTGAGAATGACAAAGCACAGGTATTTCGCTCCGCCGTTCGAAGATGTCCCATTCCGTTAAAAATCACAGGTTGACATAGAGAAACCGATCTGCCCAGTGGTGACCGGGCTAGGGCGACACCATGCCCGCCGACGCTGGAGAGAGGACAAGAAGACAGGGTGAGATGCCTGTCTACTCGGACTCTTCCTCCTCCTCGTCATCTCCAGCCTTCTTCGGCCAGTTAGCGGGTGACGGCAACAGATGGGTGGGAGTCTTACTAGGTAGGCGGCCTTCTCTTCCTCGTAGCGCTTCTTGTCGGTAGCAGCCTTTGCGTCGTATGGGGCGCGCTGCTTCTCGTTGAGTGCCTTCCACTTCTCGCCGAGAAGCTTGCCGACCTCGCCTGGAGGAGGTTAGAAACGGAGATTGTGATGGATGACCTGGACATGGACTCACCGAACTTGATACCGGGGTTGTCCTCGCGAACCTTCTCGCGCTGCTCGTTGGCGAAAAACATGTACGCGGACAGACCACGCTTAGGCGCGTTGGGGTCTGCAAGGGTCAGTGTCGAGCTTGAAGGTGAGCACACGTGACATCTTACCCTTCTTCTTCTTGCCGCTGTCGGCCTTGGTGGCCTTGCCCTTGCCGCGCGTTACCTTCTCCTTAGGCATGATGTTGTTGTGTGGTGTAAACTTGGGATTGATGGTTAGATGATGGTTGAGTCGGGATGTTGAGCCGAGAGATTGTGAGGTAGAGGGTGAGGGTGAGATCAGTGGAGATTTAATAGCACAGTGTGTTTGTTTAGGGGAGCGTGCTGGGAATGACGTGCAGTGGGTGAGTGATAGGCGGTGGTGCGTGGGAGCTTTGCTATGCGCGTGCAGTGACGCGGTCGCAAAACACCACGCTAGGACGCGTCGACGCGCGATTTGGCGGCAAGAGAAGCTGCAGAACTTACAGAAGTTGTGAAAATCGAAAAAGATCAAGTGGTTGATGGAGGCCTATTTTGCGGTCAGTATGCGCCTTGGAGCAGTTGACGGCGGCGTGATGAACGCGAACAAGAACGCGATGACGCGCAAAAGATGCAGCAATGGAGTCGCAGAATGAGCTCGTTGCGCGAATCGGGGCGGGAAAAAGCGTGCAAAAAAGGGTGGTGGTGTTGACGGATAGTGCGCGGTGACGCGACTCTGTGGTATGCAGCCGAGGACTTACGACTTTGAAATTTGGGTGGAGTTTGTATGGTGAGTCGCTGTATGGGAGGTTCTGGTGGGCGAGCGCAGTATGAGAGGGACGGGCAACGCAAGTCGACCCTTCTTGTTAGGCACGGCTGACATAAGCCCTCCAAGAGCCAGACTTGTTTTGACGCACTCGCTCCCGGCCAAAGCCCCTCTTTCTCTCGCACCATGGCTGCCCCCTCCCTTGACACCGCAATAAAGGACACCATGATTCGCACCGTTCATACTGTCTAACTGGCCGCTGCTAACACCGCGCTCTCGCTGCACGGTCTGGATGTCGCATTGTCTGCCTGGCCTTCACGGTGCTGCTTGCTGCTCTGCCCGCTTCTCTGCCCCCCCTCGGGAGCACACTTGGGGCGCATCACGGACGCGAGGCGCTGCTTGCCCTTCATTCCTGTCTGGCCCGTTTCAGATGGTTAGATTGCACGCAGTAGACACTGCTACATCATTCGTTGGCTGTACACAGGTCGGCTCTTTGACGTTATCTTAATACCGCAGCGGCTGGCTGATGTTGCTTCCGCCAGCATCATCCATCCGCCGGTTGCGCACCGCGCTGCTGGAGGGGGTGGGCCCCATCTCTGATGTTCTCGAAGCTGCCCGGTGCATGGTCCGAAGCAGCCTATTGCGCACCGTGCAGAAGTCTTTCTTGCGCCTTTCATATTCCCCCAGCGCCGCGCAACCCGTGTGATGGGAGCGGTCAACGAAGCCGCTTCCGGCGACGGAGCTTCCTCGCTGAAGGCCAAACCGAATAAGGCAGAGAGTACATATCTGCAGCAGCCGCCAAACGTAGTCGCCTCGGTGATTTGTGACAGACACAGACACACGCACATTGTTGGGAACCGGTGCTTCAATCGCGGATCAGACTTGATAGTACGAACGTCGCAAGGCACGGTGCAGCTACCCTTGATGCGCCCACGGCACGCACGACAGGCAGGCGACTTTCCATGACGCTCAGACAACGTGCGACACACTTCAAGCGCAGATGATGCCCAACTAACCACGAGTTCACCATTTATCTGAAAGCATGATGTACGCCCGTCGTTGATATCCAGGACCGTGAATACGCAGGCAGCATACAGAGTCGGGATTACAAATGCGCCGAGAGCCATCGCTCAGGCAACCACTGCCGTCAACAATGACGAGTGCAGTACCACAACGTCTAGATCGGCGCAACACAGGTAGCGCCATGATGGATGCACGACGTGACAGGTATGTCTACGGATGGGAGACCTCTGCCCACGGCAACACCAGCGGTGCAGATATACCTGACGAGATTTTAGCTTTCATTCTCGGGACCCAGACATCGCCGTCGTAAAAACAGCATAAATCAATTTTTCTTCTTCCGCTATCAAGCATCGTGAAGCTATGCACTGCGATCTCGTATTCAGACTGTATTCCCCTTGAGCCAGGGCAGAAAGACTTAGGCAACACCAAGGCGAGATGAAAGCACGCGACCAAAGAAGAAATTTTGTGAAGAGCATGGGAAGGTGGATTGAATATGTTGCTTTGAGGTGGATTGAAGGTAAGAACTGGAGCGACTATCATGTGGCAGGAAAAGAACAACAGCGACTCGACGATATGGATATCATTCCCTCCTCGTCTTAGGTAGTCCTGGAGTCTCTCAAGAGATTTCCGGGCTGCCGTTGGCTTTGGCATAGTCCCTTGAGGACTACTAAGAAGTACTGTTCTGCTCATCTGTGGTTGATTTTGGTTGCTTTGGTCATACTCCTTTCTACAACAACTTATTCATCCATCCTCCTCGTCGTCCATGACGAGTTCGGTCAGACCCTCATCCGCCGCCCAGTTGATGCCACTGCCAACAATCATCGCCGAGAGGATGCCTTTCAATGTCTTCATCCTCCGTCTCGAGAGGCTCAGTTCCTTCTCCACTGCCCTTACTTGGTCGCGCAACCGAGGGTCTTCGATGTCCTTTGCAGATTGCGCCTTCATCTCTTCTGCCAGAGCGAGCATTGTGGCGGACAGCTCGCGATTGTTGCGGTTCGCGATGATGTTCGCCTGCGTGGATGCACTGACGGCTCGCTGAGTAGTTAACAGCTTGGACGTCAACGAGCCATGCACCATCGACACGGTATCCATTTCTGTGATCATGGGCAGGATGCGCCTTACACTGATTAGCCAAATATCAAGCATGAAGGGCAGTGTAAATACTTCTCAGCATATCCAGTGCGCTCCCCTCCATGGACAGCTTTCAGCACAGGGTCCATGACCAAAACGTTGTGGGTGATGCTGTTGCGGATCTCATATTCTGCCTTGGCTTCCAGAGCCTCGCGTTGGGCAATGGTCAGCTGCACTTGTAGCTCGTCATCTGAAAGTTCAGAGAGATCAGACACGTGTGCTACAAACAAATTAGTACCCCATGTGAGCAGAGTAGTGTCTAGTAATACATGACTGTTGTGCCCTCAGCAGGCTCAGCTGTAGTTCAAGTTCGCGCAGTTGGTCGTAGAGTTGTAGGGCTAGCTTCTCGGCTTCGGAAAACGCGAACGCGTCGCTGTGGTTCGTTTGAAGCAAGTCGGCATAGTCGTTTGGATCATGCAGCTTAGTTGCCGCGTCGGCCATTTCCACATCGCCCTTGGTCGCCATGTTGATCGCAAGGCGTTGAAAATAGCAATGCACGACTGATAAGAGTAATGCAGCTGACTGCGACCGTCCATCATGATGCACTTACGCAAGGCTCGTGCGCAGATCCCTGCGTCAAAGGCGCCTTGGCAGAACTTTGTACCTAATGCTCACACTGGGGTATAAGTCCTCCCACATCTCACCCCAGAGTCGCAACGCTTCCCCAAGCGCGCGAGGCCAAGTCCGCATGTCGCTGCAGATTGCTGTGGCTCATACGGGCCAGCGCCTCGACGCTGACCCTGTCGCCTTCAGCTCCGTCGATGCGCTCAAGCAATGGATCTCGAGGGCCTCTGAGATAGCGCCCGAGTCACAGATATTGCTGACACCGGGCGGCAAACACGTGAAGCTGCAGGCACTACTTACAGAAGTATGAAGCCTGTCTCTACAGACCATAACACTAGCTAATGTTTCTTGTCCGTAGAAAGAGATCTTTGTCTATAGCCGCGAGTTGTCGAACAACCCCCAGGCAGCCATATCGTCCACACCACTACCAGATGCCTTCACACCCGATGACCCACCAAACACCCTCTCGAACAATACAGACCTGCGCGCATGGCAGACGCTATTCCAGG